CAGATGGTGCCTGGAGCTGGGTCAGTCCCAGCCATCCAGAGAATCCCTTTGCCTGGGGCAGAGATGCTGGAAGAGGAGCCCCTCTATGTGAATGCCAAGCAGTACCACCGCATCCTCAAGAGGAGACAGGCACGGGCTAAGCTGGAAGCAGAGGGAAAAATTCCCAAGGAAAGAAGGGTGAGAAGACAACTCTGATCTAACACAGGGTTGCTCTGTGAGAAAGGCACAGAACCCCACCCAGGCTGGAAAATGAGGACTGGAATCGTGGTGGTTTTTAATGTTCTTGTTGTTTGTAAGCTACATCAGGGCAAATTTTTTAAGTCCTTTGGGGACAGTCCTGCTTCCTTTGGATGCTTTGGGGTGTCCTTGGAGCTGTGTTACAAGTGGGTATTGACTGTACACACGCTGTCTGTGGGCAGGAGGATGGATGGGGACAGGGCAGGCTTTTCCAGTGGTCGGGAATTTCCCCTGAGGAAGCACTGACCTGGAAATTGTGGCTGCTCTCTCATGTCCTGCTTCCCTTTGCTGCAGAAATACCTGCACGAGTCCCGGCACCGGCACGCCATGGCCAGGAAACGGGGAGAGGGGGGACGCTTCTTCTCCCCCAAGGAGAAGGACAGCCCTCACATGCAGGTCAGTGGGATTTAGTCTGGCTGTTGGACAGCTGCCCCTTTCAGTCCTTCACGTTGCTCTTTACAGGTGTTGTACTGGTTTGTTTGGGTTTTTTGGAGGCTGCTGACCATTGTCCTTCCCTGCCTTCGAATTTACGTTTCAGGCATTGGGGAAAAAACCTCCTGTCTAGTAGAGAGCAAGTGATGTTTGCCTTGAGGGATTTAATGACAGTAATGTGGATAGAAGTGTATTCGCTTCGTATTTCTTAGGGCAAACTCACACAAACGTTCTGTGTTTGTAAAACAGCCTCTCTGGTTGGCTACAAGCAGTGGGTCAATACAGTGATGAATTAAAGGTAGAGACACCTTATCTTACACCTGATGGAAAATTAAAACGTGAATATCTGATTCTTAGCTGCACATTGATTTGCATAGAAAGTGCAAGGCAGGTTTCAAAGGAAGGGATGCAATGGAGTAGAATCAGCAGGTTCTGTTGTTCATCAGTTCTTTGGAGCAGTCCTGTGGCTTTAGGGAATGTTTCTTATCCTGAAGTAGAATCCTTCCCAAAAACCAGGCCAGTAATAGGTTTTCCTGATTACCAGGGATGGCACCTTCCTGGGAACTGTTAGGATTTTTGTATCCCAGTCTCTTACACTGGCCTGTAAAACCCAGGAACATTAGGACACATGTCAGTATGAAGGGAGGGGCAGGAGTATCTGCTCCTGGTAGCTGTGTGTGCTTCTCCCTGCTTCATGGAGAAGTGTTGAAGTCCAACCTGGGATGTATTTTGTGTCTGCAGGATCCCACTCAGACCAACGAAGAAGCGATGACACAGATGATCAGAGTCTCCTAACCACTGCTTCCAGGAGAATAGCACCTGGATGGAATTCCCAGTCCTCCTGCCAGTCTGTCCTGCCTGTCCAGTGTGTCCAGCGAGTCTTTGAGTGGGACAATCACCCTGTCACAGCCTGTCCTTTTCTACAGAACAAGCACCACGTGTTCAGGGCGTGGTTGAGATTTTAACAAACAGAAACTTCTAGATTTCCTTGGTGCACTCTCCTGATCCAGCACAGGGAATTTGGAGTCTCACTGCTCGTCAGCTGCACCACAGGACTGTGTTTGCCCAGCAGAGACTTATTTCCATCCACTCCTGACACCTTTGGACTTCGTTTCCCTGAACTGGTCCCTGTTGTTGCACTTCTGGGCCTGGCAGAAACTGAAGGGGATTCTTTTCAGTTCCACCTTGTAAATGTGTAAAACAACAAGCTCTTCTCGGGGAAAGGTTCAGCCATCCAGTCAATGATAGAAATACTCAAGATTACTGCAGGACTTGGTGTATTGTGTGTCTGTTCCAAGAACTAAGGTGGGAGAGGGTGATGTGGGGAGAAGGATTTCATTAGTAAAAGCAATCTCTGGGGGGGTTTTATATGTTTATTGCCAGTAGTTGTTGCTTTGGAAGAAAACTGGATGCGAGTATAAAAGTGATTTAAACTTTTAAGTGAGTCTCTTCCAAAGGGTTTTTTGTTTTAAATCTTCCCTGTAACCTGCCAGTCGAGTGCAGAGTTCCTCCAGAAGACATCAAATCCTCAGTCTCAGAGTGTTGGCACTTGATCAGCTTCATGATGTCGTTTCTTGATGCCCAGATCCACTCTACAATTCTACAGAGTGAGGGATGTTCCAGTACAGCAGCAGCTGGGGCAGCTCATCCCATCCTGAGGTACCTGAAGGACTGTTAACAAATGAAGGCAGATACTGAAGAACCTTTCAGGCTTTATTATAGATTATTCTCTAACCTATCTATTTTGTTATTCTCTAACAAAAAAAGAAGTGGCACTTAATGAAAGTGGAGTACCTAGTTTTAAAAAAAGGGACTTTTTCATGACCTACAGCTGGTTTTGGGCTGAGCAACTCCACAAACAGCTTTAGCTTTAATTCTGTAGCTCATTCCAGATTCTCAGCCTGCTCCACTTTTTCTGCTTTGAAATGTGGTGATAGGAGCAGTAGCCAAAAGCAGTTAACAGGTGATCTCACATCATTCCATGCCTGTCCTCCCCCACCTTAATGAGTTTAAAGCTGCTCTGTGAATCAGGTGCCTGCTGGAGTCCCAGATCTTCCAGTTCTTGTGTTCTGTGGTTAAAACTGGATCACGGTGGTGAAACTTGGGATTGGGAATATTGCCAGGTGAATATGAACCTGGACAGGTGAAGCTGCAGAGTGAGGGGTTTTGGGGTTTTTGAGCAAAGCAGCCAAGGGTGGCTGAGACTGGGTGAAGTGCAGTGAACGTTGTTTTCAAGTGGAAAAGGAAGTAAATGCAGCTTGAAAAATAAACCCCACATTATTTCTTCCCCCTCCCCACCCACGTTTTCCCAGTTACTGGAAGCTTATGACTAAAGACAAAGTGGAGGACAAATTAGCAAGTTGTGGATACAAAAGACAGAGCCTTGAAAATTCTATTGACTTCGTATAAAAGAAAAGTACTAAACCTAAGAATATGAGAAAGAAGTGAGGGAATGCAAGAGGAGGGAGCAGAAATGTGGAGAAATGCTGGATGCTACATTGTCTGCAGGCAGTCCTGGAGGAAGAGGATGCCTGTCCAGGTACTAGGGGTGACTCTACCTGTGGAAGCAGGTGGCCAGTGGAGGAGGAAATGCAGGTGGGTGTTCATAATTGGGCAGCTGGATGTTCTAAAGGATTCCAGTTCATTTTTCTGAATTCTTAGCTCTGTGTCCATGCCCTCCCCATGGTGTTGATGGCATCATTGGAGCCTTGGGTGCTTCTGCCTTAAATTCTTGCCCAATTCCAGCGTGGTGCTGATTTCCTCACTTGGCACCTGGAACCCTCACACAACATTTCCTGGGAGCTCCCCCATTTCAGGAACATGCAGCTCCCTTAGGGAGTAACATATGCTTTAGTTGGGTTTGCAGCAGCATTGTAAGAGCATCTGTACATTTTGTTGGTGGAATATTTTAGTGCTGGAATAAGAGCCTCTCCATGATGTTTCTGCTGTTTAGCTGATGGTTAATCTCTGTCCTGAGGGAGCCTCTCTGAGAGCTGGAAATTTGGGAAGCAAGGTTATTGCTCTGACATAGTTTTTGTTTTGGTTTGGGTTTTTTTTAGGGAGTAATTACTTTTCTTAAAGAACTTGTAAGCTTCTTCTAAACAGGTAGAACTTGTTTCCCAATAAACCCTTCATATCTAGGTTCTCTGATCCATTGTTGTAGAATGTGTATGAAGACATGGATTTGTGTTATAGAAAGTCTTATTGTTGATACTTTGAATAGTAATGTGAAAGCCTGAGTGCTCTGGTCAGATTTTTGTTTGTTTTGGGTTACGTGTATCACTGCTGAAAGTCCTGTTTACTTGGTGAGACTGGAGTCACCGGTCAACACCACGGTACCAAAAATGTCTGTTTTCTTTTCTGGGGGAAATTTGTTAAATTGGAGACATCGTCCAGTTCAAACCTGTCTAGTAATTAAATGAGAATTCTTTGTTTATTGGCTACACTTGAGCAGAAACTTCAGGAGAGAGTAAAAGGGTGAGGATAAAAGAGGCTCGGGGAGAAATGTGGTCGATTGACCCAGAGCACTGAAGCAGTGAACCCCTCAAAAACCAGATTTATATGAGTGTAAAGAGTGGGATTTGGAAAAAAATGGTTCTCAAGTGATGCTAGATGGGTTTAAGGCCCTGCATGTTAAAAAGAAGGGAAAAATAAACTTTTCTTTGTGAATGGACAGGGGAGGGTCCTGAGGTTGAAGTAATGTCAGGCAAAGTTTGTATATAGTTAAAAGTTTATAATTTTTTTTATATGATGCATTTTTTCAAGTGTATTTTGGTCTTTAATAGATGCAATTGTAAGTACTGTGTACACTCTCCAGCTAATAAAATTTATAAACCGGGAAGCTTTTTCCCTGTATTTGGACGTTGCGAGTGACGTGGCAGCTGTGAGGGCAGGGGGTGGCTTTGGCCCCACTGTGGGGACGGCACGGCCATCTTGGCGTCCATCTCCCCTCAGCCCCATCCCGCCATCTTGGCGTCCATCTCCCCTCAGCCCCATCCCGCCATCTTGGCGTCCATCTCCCCTCAGCCCCATCCCGCTGTCTTGGTGTCCATCTCCCCTCAGTCTGACCCTGCCATCTTGGCCTCTCTCTCCCCTCAACCCTATCCTGCCATCTTGCTGTCTGTCTCCCCTCAGCCCCATCCTGCCATCTTGGCCTCTCTCTCCCCTCAGCCCCATCCCGCCATCTTGGCGTCCATCTCCCCTCAGTCTGACCTCACTGTCTTGGCGCTTTAGGAGACAGTTTCCATGCCTGCCTGTGATCCCTCTGGACACGCTGCTCTTCCACAAGTGCTGCTCCAGAGCTCTCCACAGGATTGGAACGGCACGTTCTCTACGGTATTGGAAATATTTAATGGTATCGACCCCACACCAACGCTTCTGCCATCTCAAAAATGCACCAAAGCACAAGGGTGAGTGTCATTAGTTCCTTCCAGAATTGGTCAATACAGTGATGATCATGAAAAAAACCCGAAAAAAGGAAATAACAGTACGTAAGAACAGAGAATGGGAAGCTGGGACAGGAAGAGAACAATCATGCAAGGCTGTTTGGGAAGCCAGAAATAGGTTTCTTTATTATGATGTAATTTTCTAGCTTTGCTTTCATAAAATTTGCAATAGAATAACAAAACCATCTCAGATATAATGATAAAAAGCCTGATATTTTTTAGCCACATCAGAGCAGTCAACAGAATTTAATTCTGTCTCTCACCCTCAGAATCTCACAAGTACTCACGGGCAGATAAATAACTCACAGAGTTTATACAGTCCGTAGGTGTATTCCCTGCTTTTTCCCCTTCCTTCCCTCCTTTGCCACCCAGTGCCCAGGCTGGGGTTTTCTTAGAATCTTAGTATCAAAAATTTAAACCTATTTTTGTGTTCTATTCAGCATCCTCAGCTCAGCTCACAGAATTAAGATGAATTTGGGGATTTATCCATAATCCCTGAGGGATGTTTGATCATATCACTGTGAGATCAGGGTTCTGTAGTTTGGTCAACAGTTTATAGTAAAGTCAAACTAGGTTTATCCTGGAGTATTGGTGTGTGTTAATGAACAACAAACAGGGAAATACAAAGTTATTTCTTTGTAAAACAAATCAATAATTTTGAATGTAAATTTCACCCCTGCATGTTCAAGCTGATGACTGTTTATATTATAAAGTAGACAAATATTTTCCAACAAGCCTCTTGTTTACTAAAACATGTCAAGTGCATTGTCTGTGTCCCTGAAGCCCAGGAAACACCTCGTGTGTTTCAAATAAAGCAGATTTTTACCACTTTGCTGACTTGGATCTTATCAGAGTGGGCAGTAATTAATGCTTTATCTGTGAGTATTCAAGTGAGCTGTTGAAGAAAGTCCAAAGGAAGCATCTCTCATATCTCACAGCCCCTCGTTGGCTGTGGTGCTGTATCAGCTGCTGCCAGACAGAACCAGTTTCCTGTATTTGGGTTTATAGTTCTATGTCATTTAAAACCAGCAATTTGGAAAAGCAAACATACCACAGCTTTCTTCTGGATTTGCCCACCAGGAGCTGGGTGTGATGCTGTGCTGTTAGGAAAGTGTTGTTTTCCAGGGAAGGTTTGTGCACCCACGTGTGTCCTTTCAGTTGCTTCTGCCCCTCACCCCATCGCCCACCTTCAGCAGCTGGGTACAAACAGGTTATTTTAAGTGCATTTCTGCAAAATTCAGTGAAGAAGCCCAAGACTTTGTGCTGCTTTCTTTAGGTGAAGCTGTTTTTCTCTGTTGCAGTGTCAGGATGTGGAGCTGTGGTTCTGAAGAGAACAGTCGCGTATTCCACAGGCCCCGAGGAGGCCGAACTTCCCGGCGGTTCCTGCAGGTGGAAGAAAACCTTGGGAGCAGGCTGTACGTTGGCATACAGAACATCCTCGGGCCCAGGCTGCTGCTGGGGCCTGATCACAGCATAGACTGTGCTCCTGCTCAGTTCCCCTTCTGCCATCCTGCTCCCCTTGTGTCCTCTGAGCTGAGAAACCACAAAGAACAAGAAGTTAAAAACAGATTCAGCATTTTTTGCTTCTGAACATTAGCCTTAGCTCATCTACAGACACAAATATTTCCCTTTTGTCTTGTGAAGTTGGGGAAGAGGGGAGGAGATGTGTGGCAAAAGCAAACGTGTGCTCAGAGAAGTTTAGGAAACTTCTACACAAACTCAACTTCCTAAGATTGAAGGGACTGGGGTAAAAAGGTGCAGCCACAATCAACACACTGAATATTTAGGATGATAAAGTTTTCCTTTGATAAGAAGCTTTGGTGATGTTACTGCAGATCCAAGGCCAGTAAATTATCAACACTGTGTATTTGTTATTACATTTATTTTTCTGAGTATACTATAAGCAAAATTAAGCAGAAAGGCTGGGATTTCCTCAAATAACCAAGGTAGGTTGTGGCTGCTTGGCAAAAAGATGTCAGACAACCAACAAGTACGGGCAGCTTTAGTCTGGGAGCTCGAGGGGATGCCTCACCCACTGCAGGATGATGGAACTGCTGCCTGGTGACACAGAGCCAGTCTCTGCACGGCAGGGATCAACCAAAGCACCGGGAATGTGGGATTTCTGCTGGTGTCTTACCTGCAGTGCTCTCTGTCTGAAAGCAGGATGTTTGCCAGTGTCCATCCCTTTTCCTGCCAAGAATGACAGAAACTCATTTGAGTGTGAAACATGACCTTTACCTGTTCATTTTAAACCTGACTCTCCCTCCTGTCCCTTCCTGGATTCAGCTCACACCTCGCATTCGCTCCCAGCTCATCCCTGCCTCCTTGGAAAGGATTGCTGTGGACAGACCTTCCCTACATCCAGGGTGGTGGGAGGACAAGGTGAGGGGCAGGAAAACCACACAGGAGGATTTGGGATCTTTACCTGCTCTTTTCATCCTGATGTAGGTGGTGAGGAGGAAGAGAACAGCAGCAACCAGAGCAGTGGTGGGCAGGAAGGAGCTCAGCACCACGAGGGCATGGAGACTGCTGCAGGGAAAACCAGGATATCTCCGTACTATTTACAGCACCAGAGGTGATGAGGTTAATGTGGCAGGGGATTTTGTGTGTTTTACAATGAATTATGTTTCCAGGATAAGAACTGAGCACCCAAATACCACCCTTGCTGTCTCTAAACAAGTGCAGTTCTGTGAGGTCAGGACTGATCCACAGCCACAGAGGATCCATCCCACCAGCTGTGTTTTCCTTGGCACTTGGCAAGCCTGGGGAAGACTCAGGAGCTTGGATTCCCTTCCTGCAGTCATCTGCAGTGCTACCAGGGCTCAAGGGATCCCTCACCAGGATTCTGTAGCCCTTCTCAGGGTCTGTCTTTGATCAGGATCATTAATGGGGTCACTTTTGATCAGGGAACACCTTTGGTCTGCGGTGCTGTGGCCTTTGCTGGGGTGGACCTTGGGCTGGGCTGCTGGTACCCAGGCAGAGTCATTGTGGCATTGCCTGGCCCATACCTGTGCCCCTTTTTTAGCCAGTTAGAAAGCAAGGACATGGTCAAACTGAGCATCCTCAGCAGAAGCCTCACTTAGGGCTCCTGAATTTGATAGGAACCTTCTAGAGCTTCTCCTGGGACTGGGGAGGTTGGAACAAACTGTAGGGAGAAGGGGAAGCCTCTGTGTGTGTGTGTGCACATGCTGCAGTGTGTCACGCTGCTCCTCAAATCCTGCTGTGCATCCAGAGTCTGAGAGTCATTGTTTTTACCTCTGCTCCTTGTTGGTGTCATCTGTGGCAATGTCCCCCTTCTCAGTGGCAAATTTAATGGGGTCAGAATCTGTATCCAGAGACCTATATTCCTCTTGAAAAAAAACAAAACAATGAGCAGGTGATTTTCCCATGTCAATCCATCCCTGGGGACTCTTTCTCCTGCTAAAAAACTGGTGACTTTTTCTCCAGCAAAGATTTGGATTGCTCAGAGCCTGTTCCATCTGCTGATGTAAATGTAAGACTTCATTAATCAACGAAGCCAAGTCAGGCCCCCCTCACACCAGTTGGCTCCAATTTGTTTATCCCATTAGTATGTATCAAAAATATGTTTAAAAAAAAGAAATTCAGGAATTGCCTGTGTCTCAGGAAATTTCCAAAGGCAGCTCTTTAACACTGACCCGAAATCTTTCTTGTCAAGTGGTAAAAAATTGCTGACTTCTGGAAGATCATTAATTCTTTGATTAACTCACCCAAAACTTCCAGCTTGGTGCTATTCCGTGGTTTGTTTCTCCCCTGGAAATAGGTCTCGAGTTGATATTCTCCTGAGTCATTAAGTTGGAGCTTTCTCAGCTGCACTCTAATCATTTTCCATGAGAACTCATTCATCATTCCAGTCCCTCCTGCTTTAAGGAGACTTTGATCAGAGTTACCTTGAATTTGGGACACCGTTTTGCACCAAATACAACGTTGGAGTTTCCTGGTGTTGTCTTGCACAGAAAGGGAGTGATGAGGGAGAGGAGTTCCCTTTTCTCTTGCAAACAGGCTCACGAATTCTGAAGATCCTCGAGTGGTGATTCATCAGAGGGAGAAGACAGGAAAAAACAACCCCCATGGAGTGTCCGTGTCCCCCAGCACAGGGGCAGAGCCAAGGTCAGCACAGTCCCTGATGTCCCTTCCCACCCAAACCATTCTGTGATTCTATGATATTTTCTGTCCCAAACCCACTTGGTTTTGATTAATACAATCCTACAACATGGCATTCATTGTTTTTGATGGTAACCAGTAAATTATTGATTTTTTTCTTTTTTTTTTCCTTTGAGACATTTTATTTAATATAGCAAAAATAATTTCCTGGACACTTCTGCCACTTGATACACACAGGTACCTGTCGTGGTTCTATGTTGAACTATGTAATAGAGTTTTGCCCTGTCCTGGATAACCTCTGGTGAGATCTTTGTGTCCCAATACAACATCTTTAGCTGTGAAACAAAAATGGGAATGACACATCATTCTTGATTTATTTTGGCTGTCTCCCACCCGGCACACTGTTGACCTCAGAGCTCACCCTCAGGTGAAACCACCATCTGTATTCCCTGCAGAAGAATATTCTGCAGATATCCACAGCTGAGGGCCAGATTCCCTCTTGGAAGTTCTGCCCCGATCACTGAAAACCAGCGATGTCCTGAGTCCATCAGTCCCCTGAGCAGTGCAGTGTGTGGAAAAGGTTAAGCCTTTCTTTCACAGAGAAGCTCAAGGCTAAGACTGGACAGGACGTTTCTGACAGCCCCTTGCACCACTATCTCTTCTCCCATAACTTCTTGTTGGCTCTGGAGGACTCTCACTCTGTGCACAGACACTCTTATGTGGCCTCTCTGAGCCTTACCTGGTAGTGCCAGCAAGAGCAGCAGGGCTGGAAAACCTTCCATCCTGGAGCAGAGAGTGGTTTAGGGCACCAAGGGAAAAAACATCTCCTGGAGCTTCTTTATCCCCACACAGTTCCTGCTGCAGAGGAGCAAACTCACTCTGTCACTCAGAGGCTGCTGCCCCGAGTGGTGATGCCAGTTTGGAATTGCTGAGGGTATCTTTTAACCACAATCTCTGAGTTATTTCTTGGGAGGGAAGGCTGCATGCTCACTGGCTGCCTTTCCCCTTTCAATACCCTGTGATAGCCGTATTTAGCAACCAGGCCCTGGGGCTGGACAAGAAATGGGCGTCTTTGGTCTCTGGTGCTGCTCTGACACATCCCAGAGCAACCTTCAGCTGGGAATGTTCGTCCGTCTGCTGCTTTGCACTTACATGGAATCATGGAATGGTTTGGGTTGAAGGGACCTTAAAGCTCATCTCAACCCACTCCCTATGTCACCTTTCACTATCCCAGGTTGCTCCAGGCCCTGTCCAACCTGGCCTTGGACACTTCCAGGGATGGGGCAGCCACAGCCCCTAAGGGTAATGAGGGGTTGGGCTTTGAGCTCTGCTCCTGTGTGGCACTGAGTGGCTGGATGTGCCAGCCTGTCCCGCTGGCTCTGAGCATTGTAAACACTCCAGCATGTTCCAGGTGGCACTTCTTTGGGGGATGACTGTGACCTGGTGTCCTGCAGCCCACTACCATGAATCCATCCTAAGTCAGAGAATCAGTTTTATTTTATTTAGTATTGCAGGGAAAAGAAGTGTGAATGCCCCTGGGTTTGGGGTCTGCCTGGGAGGCCCAAAGGCAGCTTCACTGTGGGGAGAGATGAACAACCACCACATGTTGGTAACATCCCCTTGAATGGGGAGAAAAAATACAGGGAGAACTACAGAGAGACAGTTCATTTGCTCACCAAGTCCTTTCAGAAATGAGGAAGCAGGCTCGGAGCTGCAAGGAGACCACATCCCTTTCTGGGCTGTCCTGCAGTTCCTTATGCCTTTCCACAGGGACTCCAAGGATCCACACTGTCCAAAGCAACAGTGGGAATTAGTCTTCCTCACCTTGTAAAGACAGAATCTGTCACCTGGCACTGCCCTGAGATGACAGGATGTTGATGGGTCTCAGTTCAGACTGTGGTGGAATGATATTGGGGATGGTATCTGGAATAACTCTGCCTGGGGGTGTGAGGCCAATGACAAGAGGTGGTAGATGGTGACATTCCCTCTCCAAAGTGACAGGTTCATCCACACCTGTGTTTAGTAGTGATCCTTTTCTTACAGCAGGTGGCAAAGCTTTGCCTGCAAATGCCTGATGTTCCTTTTCCATGGACTCCCTTTGGCTCAGCTCACACAGCTCTCTCCCGGGAGGGGCCAGTTCCGTTGTGTCCGAGGTCAGCAGTGAAAGGGAGGACCTGCTGCTCAATCAGGCTTGGGTTCTGCTCTCTTTCTCTGTTCTTCCTGCTGATGCCAACGATACAGATCAGTACAGCCACCATGAACTTGGTAACCAGGAGCCCAGCAAGGATGTAGAAAACAGTGAAATCCACTTTGGGAGGGGAGCTGTGGGGAACCAGAAATACAACCATGAGGGAGATGGTTCAAACCTTTAAAAAACTCTTGAGGTACTGCCTTAGTCCTAGGAAGACTAGAGATCCCAGCACAAGTTTTAGGCTCACCTGGAGATGCTCTGCACAGCTCTGGGCTCCTCTGGCACTTGGGTCTCCAGGACAGCTGCTGATAGAAACAGAACAGTTCAGTCTGCAGGTGCCTCTGGGTGATGTTCATTGGTGTCACCAGTGCCCCAGCTGGCAAGTAGCCAAGGTGAGGTGGGGCATGGGGCTGTGTGCCAGGAGATCAGTCTGGGCAGCAAGAAGGGGAGGGCATGTTGGACGTCCAGCACCAGTGAAGTGACAGTGCTTACATCAGGAATAAAGAGAGGTGATGAAGCACAGAACCTCCACAGAGTGAGACAACAGTAGATGTTTACTGAGGTGACACCTTGGCATCTGCAGGCACCCCTGAAATTCGAGTAGGAACTCGTGAAACTCAAACCCCAGGACGTACCTCTCAGCACTTCCACTTGCACCTTCCTCAGGCTCTTTGTGTCCCCCAGGAAATCAGTTCTGCACTGGTACAGCCCAGCATCCTCCTTCCTGAGCTGCCTCATGGTGACCGTCAGGACCCCGTCGTGGATGTTGTCCCTGATGGAGGTGGTGCCTTTCCTGCCCCTCGGGAAGGGCAGCCAGAAGGATCGGGCACTCACCACGTGCTGGCACTTGGTCTCATCGACCTGCCTGCACCAGCTCTTCTCTCTCCACCACTGCTGCTGGGGGTCGTAGGAGCAGTTGACAGAAATGGTGCCCCCCTCCATCCCATACACCACGGTGACGTTCTCTGCGGCACAGCATGCTGGGAGGGAGGGAGGGAGGGGAGAGGGGTGAGCCCAGTCTCTCTCATGTCTATCCCTCACTACTGTGGTGATGCTGAACATCATTTTCATCCTTTACAGCTCTAGTGATGGCAGCTGTCACCTGCAGGGCTGCTACCTGGAAGGCTGTCACCTGTAGGGCTGTCACCCGTCTGCTTCCCCCATCAACGATCAGTGTGCTCGGAGTCTTGGCTCAGGTGTTGTGAAAAATGTCTGTGGTGACCCTGTGCCTGGTGGGTGATTTGGCTCTTGCCAGATAGCAGTTCTTGGGGTGGCACTGAGAGCAGGAGGTATCAGCTTCCTTAATATTTGCAGATTTTCTGAAGCTTAGGTAAACTTTGGTCTTTGCCTTCCCTCCTGGCCCTGTGGTGGCTGCTCTGGAGTCAGTCTGGAGCTCAACCACATCCCACCTCTGTCATCCCTGTGCTCCTGCCCAGTTTGTCTTCAGGATTCGGGCATTAAATATAAACTTACCTCGTGCTCTGGTCCTGAGGAGCATGGAGCTGGGCATCCAGGTAGGTTGAGCTGGCACCAGACAAGCTGCCCTGATTTTTAAAAGCTCTTTTACAGTATTTGGCTGTGGAATACCCTCTGCTGCAGAAAAGGCCCTTTGCAGTAAATGCCCATGAACTTTATCCCCGTTTTGAAGCTCTTTACACAGGCAGAGCAAAGCCACACTGCCCTGGAAAATGCTGGAATCACACTGACACCTACAAACCACTGTCCTGCTTGCTGGCTAGGAGGTTGCTTCTGAATCCCACTCTCACTTCTAAATCCAGGCATTTAGCAGTTTTTTTCCACTCTATCTTTTAATATCTTACAAATTTTAACCATGTTGACAACTGGTCTTTGGCTGCTTGGCTTTTTTTAATTGTCTTGGTTCCTTATTTCTAATTTCCATTCCTCTTTGTGACAGGAAATGGCAGAGGGGACAGTCTGAGCTATTAATACTTCCAGAGAGAAGTACAGTGTGGTATTTGTGGAAATCTCTATTTCTAGTTGAAAAAATTCAGAGGCAAATGTTTCTGTGAAACCATAAGTAACGATAAAACAGAAGTAAATTTAAAAATAGGCTCTTGTGAGGACTTTGTGCTGGCTGAGGCTTTTAATAACACTGCTTAAAATAATTTCAACAATTCTAAGTGAATTATAAACTAAAAGATCTGAAGTTCTTTCAGCTTGACTAGAACAAGACATAAAATAGATCTGTGCTCCACAAGTATCCAACACCTCCGAGTCTTTATCCCAGTACACTGCTGCACTCAGTTCTTCCAGTCAGGACTTACCTCATGGTGTGTCCTGTCCTGTCCTGTGCAATCCTTCCAGAACACTTTGCCTGCCTCTCCTGTTTCTCCTGAGGACCCCTCCTTCCTCCAGCTCTGCCCCATCAGTCCCTACAATTCCCACAGCACAGCAGAACACCTCTCAGTTGGAATCATTTAAAGATTTCCTGATTTCTCTGTGGAAAATGTTGTGTCATTCTCTTTTCAACCAATTCTGCTGACAGATCAGAAACTATTTGTGTTCCTCCTCCCTTCCTGGGTTCTACTGCAAAAAGTATAGTGAACATTTTCCAAACTCATTCAGATTTTTGGGACAGGTTTCTGTGCTCCCACAGCCTGGGTTTGTTGCTATTCCCTGCAGTGCTGCAGGGAGCTGGAATCTCCAAAGTGGCTGGGGAGAGAGGGCAGAGAGCTGGGAGCCCCACCTGGGTCCTGTGCCTTGGTTCTCACTTCCAAGGGCTGTGCCTCTCCCAGCTGCAAAGAGCCAAGTGCCCAAGAGTTCACAGCTCTGCCCTTCACTGGGTTTTATTTCCCTTCCCTTGAACCCTCCTGTGGTAATTTACATATATGTAAATTACATTCAAAGCCCTGCAAATGCAAACACACAGGATTTTGCAATTTCACATTTCACAAAAGAGGCACACAGGACTTCTTTCATCAGTGTTTCCTGTTCTGACTCAAAAGGATCCCTGTGAGGAAAGCTGGGAGCACTGGGATCACCACTGGCCCTTTGGTAAATAAAAGGAAAGGAGAAATCTCCAAGGAAGGAGCCCTCAGGTGGAGACCAAGCTTTGCCCCAGTCCTTTACCCTGTCAACCCTTTTCCCTTGAAACCCAAAGCCACACATTCCTCTTACCTGACAGGAAGACCAAGATGAGGTGGCCAAGCCTCTCCATGTGAGCTGAGCAGAGCAGGGGATGGGAGAGCAGCCTGGAGAAGAGGGACATGGGCTCTGCCCAAGGGCAGCTCCTTCTCCCCCTCCTTGCTCTGACGGAAGGAACGAGCACAGGAACTTGGCATCTTTTTCATCCCGCACATTGAGCAATTACCAGGGACGGGCATTTCTCTCATGGGCTGAAAATTCAGGCATCAGCATTGCCCAGTCCCAGCCAGGGACTCAGCTCAGTCTAGACAGCCCAGGAGGGAGCATCATATGATGGCCTCAAGCTGAGAGCTGGGGGGTCCTGCTGGGCTCAGCTCCCACTGGAGCAGGACTTCACAGAGCCACGGAATCCCTCCGGTTTGGGCCAGAGGGACCTCAAAGCTCATCCAGTTCCAGCCCACTGCCTTGGGCAGGAACATCTTCCACTAGCCCAGGTTGCTCCAGACCCCATCCAACCTGCCTTGAACAATTCCAGGGATGGGGCAGCCACAGCTTCTCTGGGCAACCTGGGCCAGAGCCTGCCCACCCTCACCGGGGGGAATTTCCCCCAGTGTCCCACCTAACCCTGCCCCTGTTAGTGGGAAGCCATTCCCCCTTGCCCTGTCGTTCCAGGCCTCTGTAAATGATTTACAGGAGCTGTGCATGGGGGGAATTACTGGAAAGCCAAAATGGAAAGAGTGGCTCTCATGGGGATCTGCAGGTGGCTCTGTCAGCATCCCAGGGTGGAAGGAGGGCAAGGACATCATCTTGTGGGTTTTCAGGAGAATGAAGATGTAGAAGAGCCTGCACATGAAGCATTTCTGTTTGCCAGCGAACCACAGGAGCTCAGGGGCACTGCCCTGGGTGAAGCTGTGGCTGCTTTAAATCAGGCCAACAGCCATCTGTGTTCTGGGCCTGGCAGAAAGGACACAGGATCAAGGGCTGGGGGCACTGATTCCAAGCCAGCTCAGGACTGCCCTCAGGGACCTCCCAGAGCATCAGCAAACTGGGAGGCTGGGTGCTGTTTTCTGGTTTTGAATTTATTTATTTACTTGGAGATCTTCCATGCAAGTATGAGTAGACCCTGACTTCTTAACTGGTGTACTGATGAATCTGCAGGTCTGTCCAGTCTTAAATGTGCCTCTTTTTCTTTCCTTGAGTTAGTGGTTAAGAAAATGGTACCTCAGAGAAATTCTTTGTGAGGTGACTGATTGCAGTTTTTGTTCCTTCTTGCTCCAGTGAGCACAAATCTGGATTCTCTTTGAGAATCACCCTGAAAATGCCTCTCTTCCATTCCATTGTTTTCTACTATTACTCTTCCACAGCTTGACCCAGTGTAACTGCATGAAGAGCAAATTGTTAGGGGAATCTTGGGCTGAATGAACCATTTCCAGAACCATTTTCTTTTTCTTTCTGTCACATCAACTCTGAAAATCTCAAAAATTCCATCAGCCTCCCTGCTGCAGCCCTAGCAAGAGAAGCCTATTGGATGTGACTGGCCTGGGAATGAGGGATGGTTCAGGCTCCTTTGGTCTCAGACCTGTCTGCAGGGCTTGGGGCAGGGAAATCAGATGCCAGAGCTTCTGGTCTTTTGGAAAAATGGAGCTAAGCCCCAGAAAACTCGTTTCAGGTTGCTCCTCACATGACTGCTAAATACAGGCAGCAAACATGTCATTTGGAGAGTTTCCAGCAGAGAGAGGGAAGTGCAGATGTTGGTTCTGCTTATGCTTATAATCCAGCACTCCCATTCCCAACCCATTCCATGGGACATGAACCCAGGCACAAAAAGGTTCAAGTTTGATCCCTGCAGCACTGCAATGAGTTCACTTGGCCACAGGAGCTGAATCCTCAGGAATGGGGCAGAGTTTGTACCAGAGCATAGCTGGAATACCAAACCCAGCAATGTCCAGACAAATACTGCTCTTTTTCAAAAGCTCACACCTGCCTCTCCAAGAGTCTGCATTTTAATGGAACTGGAAAAACAGATGTACAAGGTGTCCTGGGAATCACCCCACACCTCTGTCTGACCCAAGACAATCTGCCACAAGTGTGGCAAAGCCTCTACTGGCCATTAACAGGAGGGAGGTCAGAAAATGCACAGGCAACACACACATGGCAGCAAAACTCAGCTCCTCCCCAGTGTCCATCCACACACCTCCTACTCCTCATTCCCACTTCGTATTCCAGTTTGTTTCTCCCATTTCTGGATTGTCTGGGGACTCTGTGCTTCATCCTGCATCATTCCTTGGGAACTGGTTGAATGCGATGACAGCGTATTCCACATTTTCCCCTTGGGGCTTCCTGTGAGCCTGGCTGGGTTCGATATTGCAGTAAAGAGGACCCTCAGAGCTGGGCCGGGATTGCAAGTCCAGGTTATTGCGTTTTAGGCCCTTGCTGTCATCCTTGGAACTTTCTCTTCTTTCAGTGCTGCCAAGCTGTGAAAAGAAAGGGAAAATACTTGTTAGCATGACACAGTGCCAGGTCACAGCTGTTACCAGGAGAGCAAATTCTCCCAGAAGGAAAGGAGAAGCCATGTAAAAAATACCTTTGGTCATGACAGAGGTGAAAGAACACTTCTTCATCACCTCTCCTGGATACAGGTAACAACTGCATGGTCTAACCTTGGTTACTAGTCCTTCAGTCATTTCTCAGGGGTTACTAGAATTTGGTCCACTGTGTTTTTTTTCTATTGGAGTTTCCCTACATTTATTCCCCCCCTCTCTCTCCAGCTAGGAACATTCCTCTCTCTGGGGACATTAAATACCATTTCCCTCCTGCTCACAACCAAAGTGAGCTCCAAGGTCCTCATCAGGTGGGTCCAACAGCTCCTCACAGAGTATTGGTCAGGGACTCGGTACCACATGGGAAATCATTCATTTTCCTTACCTGTGCTGTGCCCTCTGAATTGTCATAGGTGTCCTCTGCTCCTCGGTTACCTTTGGAATAAGCCAAAATCGGAGGTTTTAGAAGTAGAGAAGCCATGAAAAGCCCTGTCATTGCCTGTGCCTCAGGAGGTGTGGGGAAGGCTGTGGGATTGCCCAGTGATAGGAGCAGTGGATGTGCAGTGGGACCCCTCTGCCTTGAGCCTGGGGAACACCTTGGGCTCACTTCAGTTCTCCCCTAACATGTTTGCAGGTTCCTGTGCAGGGTCTGCAGGAACCCAGGTTTGACTTATTGTGAGCAGAGATGGCAGCGAGGAGTCTGCCTTGAGGCCTCCCAGCCTGCACCTGCCTGATCTCCAGGGCACTGGGAGCTGGGAACAAGCTCACCTGGAGGGGGAAAGCGGTGGCAGAGAAGGCCCTGTTTGGTACAGACCAGGACAGGAGGCATCCCCCAGCTCCACATACCTGTTCTCTCCAGGAGCTTTTTCAGCCTGACACACAGCGCTACCGAGGTGACGAGAGCCAGGATGAGCAGGATGCTCAGCACCACAGACAGTAGGATAAAGGTGTTGACATTTGAGCTGCAGCCAGGAGAGCAAGGGAGTTACCAGTGTTGGATGGTGTAACAGCCCAGTACCAAACAGTGACCAAAAGGGACAGGAACAGATTTCATGTTCAGTTCTATGCACTCAGAAGGAGGGTCTGGTTCTCCTGCAGCAATGCAATCTGATTTTTCTACCTCGTTGTGCCTTCTGAGCTTTTCCTAAACCATTATCCAGGCTTTAGAAACAAGGCACTGTTCAAAGTTCTGAGCACAATTCCAGGCTCTCTGGAACAGGAACTGCCTTTTCCTCCTGTGTTTTGCAGCACCTGGTGCACCAGAGCTGATTTTACTAATCTGCCTCCTCCTCTGGGCAGGAGCTGGAAGAGGAGAGGCCAGCTTTGGTAAGGATCCTACCATACTTAAGCCCTCTGTAGGCAGGAATCAGAGTACCCAGGGACTGCCTGCCCCAGTTGTTTTGGGGACAAAACATGAATAACTTGTGTGTGTTCAAGCTCAGAGACTCTTACCTGGGTGCTGGGCTGTTGCCCAAAGGAGTTGCTTGACTTGAGCCTTCAGTGTCTGACAAAGCTGCAATGGCAGGCATGAAGAGAGGAACAGTCACAAATGCTTTGCATTTACCAGTGAAACCCCCCTGCCATTGCTGTTCCTGTGCCCAGGGGAGGGTGTGCAGAACCCACGTGTTGGGACTTTTTCCAGAGCATCACTGTCCCCTCCCGTGGTCTGCACTGCCTGTTCCTCTAGTCCTTCAAGAGCCAGGTTGCAGCTCAGTGCCATCCCTTACTGTTAGAGCATCATGCTGAAAGAGAGCCCAAGTCACAGATCTTTAAAATACAGGTCTAAAGGTTGTTCCCTTGACAACCCAGTGTGAAGGTCTTAATAGCCTTTGAAAGCCAAGGGATGAGTCACTATAAAGGGGCAGAACTGGTATCAGAGGATGAGAGACAGAAACACCTCTCAGGACAGCTGAACCTGCTCCCAGGTTAAAGGGGAGCAGCACAGTACACGTGTGGTTCACCTCCCATCCCTGCTACTACTCCATAACGTGGTGGCCATGAGAAGGTCCAGTGCTGCAGGGTCAGGCAAACACAGGCAGGTGTAAGGTGTGAGGTGGTGTAAGCTGGGCAGTGCAGAGGGACAGAGCGGGAAAGTGAGTCTGGGATCTACAAACACAGTGTGTGCTGACAGGTCCGTACGTACCCTTGGAAACCTCGAGTGTGACCTCCTCCATCCGGGAGAGACCAGAGCTTTCACGGAGCGCACACCAGTACACGCCAGAGTCCTGTGCCTGCAGCTGCTCCATGGTGATGGTGACAATCCCCTGCTGAGTGTTGTCCTGGATCCTGACTCTGCCATCCTGAGATGTCCTTTGGTTCCCTGAGGGCCCTGAGTTTGTGGTGACCAGTATCTCACATGATGTCCCTGCTTCCTCTTTGCACCAGGCTTTGCTCACAGTCCTGTAGTCCGTGTTCTTGTACTGACACTGGACAGAGATGTTGCTTGACTCCTTGGCTGTGTACTGCTGGGTCCCTGGAAAACATCGGGAATGCTTGGTGAGATCCCAAAGCAGGCACAGTGGCACCCTGGATCTGCTTCTACCTCCAGACATGTGGAGCAGAAGGGGACTGGACCCAGATTACTGGGGGCAAAAATGACTCATAAACTGAGACACTCCGGGACACTGCAAGTGCAGTAGGTGCTCACTGTGGGACACAGAGGGCAGTAGGTACTCATAAACTGAGACACTCCGGGACACTGCAAGTGCAGTAGGTGCTCACTGTGGGACACAGAGGGCAGTAGGTGCTCACTGTGGGACACAGAGGGCAGTAGGTACTCACTCTGGGACACTGAGAGGGCAGTAGGTACTC